AAAAATCTATATACGTTACTTTGAATGTAACCTTTACTTGTGGTCGATACTAAGCTAAGATCAACGTCTACGTCAATTTGTTTCCCAATCTATATTTTTAGAAGTATTTTCATATTTTTAAACGCCTTTATGTTATGCGAAAATCCATAACACAGTTCACTATTCAAATGTTCATGTTGGATTTGGCTCATGACTTTATCGTAACATCGAGAACAAAGTTGGTACAAGCGATCTGGCGGCCGACGTGCCTAATCTATGCCGGTGTGCCCGCGACCATCCAAACACACCGTGTGTGGGTGTGCTTCGTTTAACGCAAGAGCCAGTCCATCAAGTGCGAGCGAGACGCAGCTATGCCGACAGACAGAGACAGAGGAGCACGCAGCCCGTGGGAAATGCACAGTAGTGGTCAGATCAGACTGCGCGCGCGCCGGCCCAGTGCACGTATTATTGTAGTCACATCTTAACAATTTATGAGAGCTTATACGATACACAACAAACGCAAGATAGGTCCTTAACGCTTTAAGTTAAAGTTGATGTTCCCTTGCGGTTTTAAGGGAGTTGGAACGTTTTCTATTGTGACCTTTGTAGGTACGCGGCGAGTATAATGCGATGAATTTTTTTTAGCGATCGATTGAGTTGGTTTCTGCGGCGGCCTCGGCCCGGGATGCAAATGCGGTATTTACGGAGTCGCTCAGGCACACGCCTAGTCGGTATATTGTAAAAACTCTTCATGATTTAATAATAAGCATGTTATTGCTCGAGCCCGCATATCGCTCGCCTTTGCTGAATACATGTTTAAATTAACTTATTGACTGTACTCGGAACTTTCGGATGACGAATGTTACGAAATGAGACATTGTTTAAAAATGTTCAACGGTTCCGAACACTCCTATATTAAAGGTACGGAGGAAGTTACGATATTCGTAACTTCTTTGCATCACTAACATTGAATGCAACGGTTCGAGGACTCATAATAAATTAAGATAAAACTTATTTTGATATTATTATTAATATCCGCATTACTTTGCCGGTCAAATTAAAACAAAAAACGAATTCCACACAACCCGTCCAATTGGTAACAATGGTCTATAATTCGTATCGTCAACCCACGCGTACGGTGTTCGACACTTTCAATTAGAGAAAAAAGTAACTAAATATTTATACGATAGCCTCCGCCCATGCCCGGTTCGGAAATTTTTCTGGTAGTTGCCAATGCTTGAGGATTTCGTGGGACGAGATATAAGCCTATAAACCTCGGACACATCAATTTTAAAATTATATTAATAATGCGCAAGAGATTCAATTAATTCGATATCAATCTAATGGTCTCTCTTACTAAATTGTTAATTGTTTGAAAACAATTCAACGTGTAAAATATGTGGCGGAAATATCGAATTTTGTTCCCTTATCTGACAGTGACATCATTTTTATTTGCTATTCAAACTTTTCATTAACAATTATGCTGTAATCAGTATATACCATTTGCTATTGTATGCTTAATTATTTACGAAGAATTAGAACCTGTTTTAAATTTCATCTGGAAATACAACTGCGTCCTTATTCTGTACCTCACGTCTAAATGGCTTGATCCCGGGACCACAAAAGGGACAATAGCGATCGAAACAACAGTGGGTTGTCTCATATCGGTTACATATCTTAATTAGCCCTCACAGGGCGCTCATCGATTCCGTTTTTTTTTTAAACATCCGCTCGCCTGCGACCGTGACGAATATTTGTATAGACCAACAAACTTACTTTATCAATTGAATAAATTATTTTAGAGCTTAATGCTACGTTTTAAGAGTCATTTTCAAATACGTTGGAGGGAAATTAATGTTTGCGTTAAAGTTTTGGTGATAATTAGACCGCTGATAAAAATCTTTTATATCTTTCAATCTATGTGCCTGATATGGACACTTATTGGCTATCGTTTTGATATATAAGGTGTAAAATAAAGTAAATAATGGCTTTAGGTAAAGATAAGCAATTTTAGTGAAATTTTCTTGATCTTCCTTATCTACTGCTTATTATGAAATCTATCATGATTGATTTTACCAGTTACTATCTGTTGTTCGCGATTTTGCATGCCTAAAATTGAAAAGAAAGTAAAAAACATAGCCTATGTTACTCGGTGCCAACGTAGAATTTTATTGTAATTTTATTTTTGAAATCGGTCGAGTAGTTTTGGAGTTATTTCAGTACATACCAAAATACAAATGATTCCTCTTCATCATATTAATACGGATTATTTTAAAGTTACATTATCTGTTAATAAATTAAAGTAAACGTCTGATCTTCAAGTAACCATTTAAATTAACACAATTTCCCACAGACTTCAAATTACGACACCGCACCTCAAGATCTCTTCGCCCTATATTATAACCCTTTACTATAACGTTAAGTTATGTAAAATTGATCCATCGCCGTGTTTACTACAGTAGAATGAAATCTTGAGAAATAAAGAAGCAATGTACTTCGATAATACATTTTGTTACACATTTTCATACGAAAGTTTCTTGGTATTATTCAGATAGTTCTGAACGCATGATCAGCCTGCTTCCTGTCAAACAAACGCCTCCAGGGAACTCTATTCCGTGTTATTGGGGCAAATAATTTTAAATTGATCGCTGGGTGCACCGCACACCTTTGACTAAACTTTTTTTTTTATTGAATATATTACATAAAAACAAAATCGCAGAACTTGTGCGATTGTCTATTATTTCGCAGCCAATTGTTTAGTTGCGCAGCTAAAAATCGACAGTGAGCGCACCTCCATATAAGTTCATATAAATCAAAGCGCGACTAAACACTTGTGCGACTATTTAGTCAATACCATCTATCATTTTGAGAGGAAATTCCAAGCATAAATATAAATCGAAGAAGGAATGTAAATTTGACTTTAATTCTGCAAAATTATTTTTTTTTTTTGGCTGTTTTAATTTATTCAAAGGCGAAACATTTTATTTTAATCTAGGTCGATGACAATTTACTAACAAGCGTTTAATTAAACGCACATGTCTAGACCGATATTGCAGTTTTAAACATATTAAAACTGCTTTGATGTTGAAATTGAAGGCAACATGTCGCAATCAACGAACTTAATAAAATTGTTATAACAGAATATGTTAGAAACGTTAATTTAATTTCACTTACGATGTTAAAATAATTGAGATAACTTTTTTATTTATCTGAAATCCGAAAGATATAAGGATCCCTATAGAAATAGGTTTTCGCCAAAATACGCATTATTCAATCTGGTCTTTGTAAATGAATTTCTTGCAATTGGGAATAAAACAATAAAAACAAACATCAAGAAATTTAATCAAATGTTCTTACAATAATATGGCCAATATTAGGCTAATAACAAAAAAAAATGATTAAACCATGGACGAAATTTACCTTCATCCATAAGTATTACAAATTAAATCAACATTACAACTTAGAAACAACTCTTAATTAAAACTTATATATCTACTATAGTAGATCAAATATCAAACATAACCGAAACATTTAATTATAAAGGTGGCTACACACTAAGGACGCACACTTTTGCATTGTATGGAACAATATCGAGATTCAATTTTCACTTTCTTGTATCGCGAATACGTTATTTCGTGGAACTAGTAATGTTTAATATTTATTTTGTAAACTAATATGTACAAATAAGAGCCAGGAATACTATTCTCTAATATCCTGTATCACAAACTTCTTAAAATCCTATAAGAAACATTTGGCATAGATGTAGAGCATAGTCTGGAACAACTGCATATACTACTTACTTTTGTTTTTTTAATCCACGCAAGATGGAGTCGCGGTTGAAAGCTAGTGTAGCTAGTGTATTTTTTTTCTTTTGCCGCGGTCGACTGAATTATGATTCGCGAACGACACGTTACCGCAAACGCTTTAGGGGACTGTATCAATTTCGAGCATACGTAAATAGTGTGTACTCACCTTATTATTATATACAACCTTGTGTTTATTTGCAATCGGAGATATATCCAACCGTGAAGATATTTAAATTATTCACATTAGCGTGGATTTATTGAGATATCCACACTAAGAGACTACTTAAACAACCATTAGAGTAAATAACTCAGTGTCTACAGAATCTTATAATATAAAACATAACTTTAGATTTGATCTTAATACTTGAACATAAACAGTTTCAGATAACACTAGTTCATAGTATCAGGTATACTTCGAAAATAGAAATTATGTACAATAGAGATTGCTCCAAAAATATCTCCTAATCTACTATAGTAGTTTTAAGTAAAAAGAAAATACCTACTTCGTTTCTTAATGAATCATCATCGTCACTATACGTCCCCACCGAGGGGCTCGGAGCCTAATAAGGGGTGACTAAGCCATAGTCAAATACGCTGGCCCACTGCGGGTTGACTTCACATATCTTTGAATTTCTTCACCAATATGTGCATCACGATGTTTTCCTTCACCGTAAGAACGTCGGGTAAATTATGTACATATGAAATTCGACAATCACATTGGTACATGGCGGGATTCGAACTCAAGACCTGTAGAATACAAGTCAAGTGCTAAAACCCTTGAACTACCAAAAAATGTAACAAAAATGAATCAATATTTTTAATTCTACAATTTTAGTCATCTTAAAAATAAAAAATACAATTTTTTACACCTATTTCAATTGTATACAACATTTTCTAAGATATATAAAACTGTCACAATTACCCTTATTAATTCGTGACATATAAGTTTCCTCCATATCAACATTTACATATACACTAACGCTTACAACAGAAGGGTAGGCAGATACTGCTGGTTTGGCACGGTCCTAGTAACCTATTCAACATTTATAAATCAACGCAAACATAATATATTGGAATACTCCTAACACCGATTTTTTTTAGCATATCACTGTACTAAATTTTATTGAAATCCGTTCAGCCGTTTAGGCTACAAACTCTAACAAACATCCATCTAAACTTTCGCATTCATAATATTAGTATGAAGTATGATTTTTCAATTTCATGCGAGCGAAGTTGCGAGCAACAGTTAGTGGTTAACATTTATATTGTTCTTATGAAATTATGATAAATAAGTTCTCTCGGAGGTCAAGTTAGTTAGGATTTAATACAATTTCTTAATAAATTAAGTACTACTTTATTATACTAGTATACTGCTTTAGAAATAAGAATATTCCCGTCTATAAACATGTCAAATTTCAGCTAAAAAATTTGATTACAAAAAAAATACACATTTTTTTTTTAATTCGGAGAGGTTTTTATAATTCTGAGATTCAGAAGTTTTGCTGCTTCTATCTATAATTATAGATTTCTTATGTAAAATATACATGTAAATAAAGTACGTCTTTAGAAAGCTCATACAACAGAACAGTGATTCCTAAACTCTTGAGTGGCAAATAACTAAAATATTTTTCCGTTAAATCAAAAAAAAAAATTAAATAAAACCAATTCCATTTTCACATTAAAACTGAATGTACAGGATTTTTGTTTGGGGTAAAACAATAAATCAATTTAATATTCAAAATATAACAGCATTAAACTCTAACCAAAAAGCCGAGCAATGGCTAAAAAGAAAGTGGATTCGACAGGGGAGGGGATAGACAGGAAAAGTGAAAATCCTTTTCCTGTTTGCTCGTTTGCCACCTTACACCATGAAAAAACTTTTAACTAAAGTTTATATATGTTTTAGGGCATTCTCATAGTTAGTTAAGTTTAGAAATCGCTGCTTTAAACTTTTTATACCTAATAGGATAACTTATACAAATAATTATTAACTAAAATGATCTTAAAATGTTGGAGAACTTTATATTCATTTTAATATCAAAATGATTTGAGAAATCAAACGATATAAGAATTATTGCGTGATTGTTTTTTTCGGTCAAATCTATGATTAACTTATAATTATAAAATCAGCCGCATCATTTCTTTAGTATCAGTTATTTACATTTACTATTGTCACAATTGTAATATTTAGATAAGTATTTTATTTCCGACTGTACTTATTTTATAATTACATAACAGTACTTGCGACTTTGAGTGACATACAATTGAGACAGTCGCGGACAAAAGTAAGATATAAGTGTAGGTGACACAATAGTTACATATTTTTTTCCTAACTGTACTTGTGAGTGTATTTCTGGAACTACTACCGAGAAATTGATACACGTTAGGTACAGTCAATAGCAAAAGTGCAATCTAAAAGAAAAGCTTGTCGTGATCGTGTTCGAAAATAGCTTATGTACATTCGACATAATAATTATTTTCTTTGTAACTGTACTTGTAATTTGGAGCAAGATACATTTGGTACAGCCAATAACAAAAGTGCAATCTATAAGATCCGACGACAGCTGATGTATTTTCTGTCCGAAAACAATGAATAACTACTTTCTTTGTAACTGTACTTGCGACTTAGACATAGAACATTTAGTACAGTCAACAACAAAAGTATGATTTACAAGAAGAGTTTGTCGGCAAGAGTATCCGTAGACAGCCGTTGCATTTTCTGTCCGACTACTTTATTTGTAACTGTACTTATTACTTGGAGTTAGATACATTTAGTACAGTCAATAACAAAAGTGCCATCTACAATAACAGTAAGGGAGTACAACAGCTGATATATTTTCTGTCCGAATACAATCAGTAACTATATATATTTTGTAACTGTACTTGTGAATCAAAATTAGATACATTTGGTACAGTCCATAACAAAATTGCCATATACAACAAGAACAACCTGACGGTGAAAGTGTCCGACGACGCATTTTTTGTCTGGCGACAATAAATTTTTGTTTTCTTTATAACTGTACTTGCTACTTAGAGATAGATACATTTAGTACAGCTAGTAACAAAAGTACCATCTACAATAAGAATAACTTTTCGGTGAAAATATCCTACGACGTATTTTTTGTCTGGCGACAATCATTAACTATTTTCTCTATAACTGTACTTGTATCAAAGCTAGATACATTTAGTACAGTCAATAACAAAAGTGCGAATTACAAAAAGAATAGCTTATCGGTGAGCGCGTCCGACGGCGGCTGATGTATACTCTGTCCGACGAGGTAAGCCAGCTTGTGAGCGTACTGGCACGGCGCTGGCACGCGCACGGTGCCGGGCCAGTTGTAGTACAGGTGGCACAGCTTGTAGGTCAGCCGCTGGCACTGGTCTGCTGTCATGCCGCTGGAGTCGTGGATTACCACGTAGTGTGTGGGCGTCACTGTACCTTGGTTCACTTTCTGCGACACGATCAGGAAATCGTACCTGTAATGGTAGTGATAAATTTTATTCGTACTACAATGAACGGGAATATTAAAACTTTTGCTGTTATGGAAAAATAAGGAACTAATCAAAGCACTTAAAAAGTGATTTGGTAACTCAATGTGAACCATAAACCACAAAATAGTCAAACAGTTTTCATAAAAGTATTTAGTTAGTTTATTCGTGTTTTGTCGTGTGAAAATTCAAGATTCCCCAATATAAGTCAAGTTATTAAAAGAATCAATTTTTGTGAAGTTTTTAACTATCTCAAAAATGTCATTTTTTTCTCATATATAATGGTTTATAGCGAATAGATTACATTACTAGAATCTATTTATCTATACTAATATAAAAAAGCATAAACACAGTACTTAGTTAGTAGGATGTCAGCAATCACAGCATATTTTTAAATGATTGTTTCTTTAATAAAAACCTCTACACTTACACACTTTAAGCTATATATTTTCACGCTATTAAACCTAGGGGTAAATAAAGTACTAATGATAAAAAATAAAAACTCACCAGTCCCTTCTTGTAATACAGTGATCCAGCACAGTCCCGGGGTTGGGGTTTTCGAAGCCATTCCTCGTTTTCATGAATATCCTGGTGTTGATGCGTTTCTGCACCACGATGTATGTGAGCGCGGGCTGGTACGCCGCGCCCAGCACGGAGAAGCAGATCTGCATCTGAGGGATCTCGTAGTCTTGCAGCAGTTTCAGCTGACCGTCACCGACTCCGTCTCTGGAATTACAATAATACATATTAAAATACTATTTTGTTTATATCATAAGGTGTCAAACACTTTTATCAGTGGTACTGCCCGCTTTAACATGTTAGCAGTGCAGGGCCGGCACGCCCCCAATAATACCACGACCACACAGAAGACAGGCGTCAAATGGAAGCAATTCCGTGTTCGTTTGATGAGTGTGGTGCCGGAGGCCTAATTTAAGTCCCTTTCTCTTTACCACCCCTTTCTTGTAAAGAGAGGTTGGGAAGAGGAAGTGGATTTGACGGTGAAGGAGATGCATAGGAAGGGGAAATAACCACTTCATGTGCGTCTCCTCCTCCATCGTATAAGGGTAGGCAACGCATCTGCAATTGCCGATGTCTATGGGCAGCGGTCGCTTCGGCATTTTGGCGGTTTAAGGTGGCCGCTTGCTCGTTTGCCACCTTATGTTATAAAAAAAAACGAGCAAGCGGCTACTTGAATCCTCCAAAATAACGAAGCGACCGCTGCCCATAGACGGTGCGTCGCCTACCCTTAATCGATGTTGGAAGAAACGCACGAAGAGGATAGAGAGGATATTTCCCCTTCCTATGCGTCTCCTCCAACGTCAGATCTACGCTCCCTTTCTAAAACAGTAAAAAAGCAAGGGAAGAGGACTAAAGTTGGGACTTTGGAACCACACTTATCAGTCTGTACGCGGAATTGCTCCCACTTCAGAGTAGTAATCGGAAAAATATTCAATCCTTCCAGTATGACCCATCCTGCCGTTACGAAAGAATTTTTAATTTAATTTTCTTACCTGTAAATGATAATTCTGTCGGGTAATCTGCCATTAACACGTAGGTAATGTTTCAATGCATCCACGAAGCAGGACTTGAGGCTGTCAACGATCTCCTGCCCTCGCTCTTGTAACACCACTTTGGAGTACCAGTGTGTCATCATTTGATTGTAAGATGCTACGAATGCTGGAAAATATATAAAGAACACTTAATATCGTGATAAGCTGTTAAGAAAATAAAACCAACAGTGTTAATGCACAAATAATAATTACATGTTACATTTAAATATTTAATTATTAGAAAAGATTTATTTACAAATATTTTTGTAAAGCAAATGAGCAAATATATTGTACTAAAGGCGAATAAAGACAAACAAAAACAAAATAGACCCTTATAGTTATAAGTTGAGCGAAATCTTTTTTTTTTAATTCCGTTATTGATGAAAGTTAAATTTGACACTGTTAAATTAATATCAACAAATACAAAGCTATTTTTATATGAAGAGTCTTTTGTTTTTTGATCGAATTTACCTTACATAAGCTACCTCTAGTAAAAAATAATTAAAGACATTTGCAGTACCGTGGTTGTGGCTTGTATCCATGTCGGATCAATTAGAATAAAGCTATTGATTTTCTCCTATAAATATTACATTAAGCGACTTACCACAAACACTTCTTTTCTTCCTACTAGCGTCATGGTAGGAGTCGATGCCAATGACCATGGCGGACTTGAGCGGCACGCTGATGGACCACAGCGTGCCGCCCAGCTTGCAGTTCATTTGCAGCAGGATCTTCTGAGTTATCGAACGGATCTTCTGACTGTTCATTATCGTACGCGCATTCACCACCTACGGTTATTTTATTTCAATGTTTCAATAATTACATTATAGAAATATTTTACACCCTTTGAAAATTAATTATATTTACAGCCGAATACTGAAACTAACCTTAACAATAGTCTTTGTCAGCGCCGTTAAAAACTTAACAGACATCATATTTAAATGTAGTTTCAATATTTGACCGTAAGAGCTTTATTTATTGTTCTAAATACATTCATCTACTCAAATTCTCAAAACAGATATGCATACATTAACATAACCCAATTTTACTTGAACCAGCACAGAGAAATATTGAAAAAGGCATGGGATCTTCCAGATTACGTCCTGCATATCTATAAATAACATCTACGCCAAATTTCAGGGAGATACGTTAAACCGTCCTATCACGTAGTAACAAGGATCCATCTAAACTTTTGGTTACAACGATAATAAGAGTTTGTAGTTAAGTGGAGATACATGAGAGGAATGGAAATGGTTTACTCAATGGTTAGATTTCATGTGTTTAAACGCTGTGTTATGTACCATCTGTTTTTTTTATTTGTGAACACATCATCATCATCCTTCTTATCTTACTCCCGTAGGGGCGCAACAGGTTTTTGTCCTCCACATAACTATCATACGTAATCTCAGTCATCACTCCCTTTTTGATCATGTCACCTTTCACGCAATCCATCCATCTCTTTCTAGGTCTACCTCTACCGGTGTAATACCAGACTCATAATTAACATCCTTGTAACATGCGATTTATCCCTCCTCATTACAGGCCCATACCATGCTAACCTTTTACTCCTTACCTTCTCTACCACTGGGGCTACTTTTAAACTTCTCATATTACTGTGGACACATATTTTTAAATAAGCTTACTACATAATAAGAGTAAGTTTTAGAACTCACCTGCGAAGGTACAGGACTATCAACACAGCATATCCTCTTAATGGCCGAGTACCTGTCGTCGCGCGCCGTGGGGCAGACAGCGACCACCAGCTGCAGATTGTCTATGGAGAACTTCCGTAGCGCGGCCACGTACGTGTCGGTGCGGTCGTTGGGCAGTCGCACCAGCTGCGGCGACGACACGTTCACGCCCATAGGAGGGGCGCAACGCTTTAAAGTATCTATAAAGTCCTGGAAACATTTTTTTATATGTTAAATGGCAAGATTAAAATATCAAGAGTTAGATTCTTTCTAAGAAAGAAATCCGTTTATTAAAAAAAAAACAAAAGGATTTCATTCAGCATGTGCGGTGTACACCGAAGCGCCGGTTTTCAGCGAATTCTAAAACAGAACTGATACTACTACTACTAATGATACAAAATATAAACTCCTTTATTTTGTTGTTATATAGGATATCAGTAATCGCAGCATATTTTTGAATATTATCTTAACAAAAATCCTTACACTTACGATAAGATATAAGATATTTATCGCGTTATTTAATTTAAGGGGTAAATAAATTGGAAAAAGTCATGTGAGAAAGAGACAAAAACTTCCAAGACAATAGCAGCAAAGAATATTTCTATAGTAACACTAATTGGTACCCAATGGTAGACCTTCATTTTCATTTGTGCATTAAAATAACATTTGAAATTGAAAGTTTTACATATAAACAACTAGTTTTCGCCCGCGACTCGGTCCGGGAAAAAAGTAGCTTGTCTGTTCTTCCATACAATGTTCTACATATATGCCAAATTTGGAAGGCCCATTCAGCAGTTTAGACTGCAAACTCTAATAAAGATCTATCCATCTCTCTGTAGAGGATAGTTTGAAAGAATAAATAAGGTATTTTTTTTTAACTTCAACCAGATTAAGTCGTGGATGAAAGCCGAAACAAAGACAAAAAACACTTACAGTAGTGACATTTTTATCTCTATCAGTGAAGAGCACCACCCATCGCAGTATATCGACAGCTTGCATGACAGCGTTCCTGGCCACCTCTCCATTCCAGTCGGCGTTGTCTTTGCCGGCCACTTTGACGTTGTTGCCGAAGTACAGCGGCTCCGGCGGCAGCGTGCGGGCAGTTAAGTCCACTGTCTCGGCAGCTATGCTCAACCCCCACCCCGTTAAACGGTTCTTTGCCATTTCGTTTGACATCACATTTTGGATATACTGTGTATGGAAATAAAAGTTCAAATGAAGGAATTACATGAATATTTAAGAGTTAGGATTTATCTTAACACTTTGTAATGTTTTTGTTTACATCACGCTAGATACGACATTTCATAAATGTCATAAATTGCAGATATCAACTAGACTAATTTCACGCACGTTTATTCTGGATCTCTCTAAAACTATAGTCAATAAGAAGTAGCAAAATACTTTTTTTTGCAAGTTTAAAAATTAATCATACCCTTCCTACATTTTTTTACACCTGGCATGTTAAATTGAAAAAACACTCATTACCTAGTGTTAAGAAGTAAATGATATAACACTAAAATATCGGCATACACGCCCTATCCCTATCTGACAGCTGTCAATCTGTTAATGTCATTCAGACGGAATCAGTGGCTCTGGCTCTGAGAGTTAAGTTAATTACGCGTTATAATTATAATGTCTTTAAACTAGACATTAAAAATTGAATCCTACATGTGTGAAGAAATTCATATAACTAAAATGAAATATGTATAGTACCTTAAGCTTGTATAATTACCTTTTTGAAGGCAGAGTGTCGTTGGTTGGGTGTGATGCGCGTGTAGGTGGCGACATCCTTCATCAGCCTGAAGTTGTTGCGCTGGTCGTCCGTCAGCCCCGTCAGCTGGCACAGCTCCGGCACCAGGCAGATCATGAAGTCCGTCGTCTTCTCGCTGCCCGGTAGACGCTTCGTGGCCCTGGACAGATTATTAACCGTCACCCCGCTCTGTCCCCACGTGGAGACAGATGAGAATAAAAAGTTTCATCTGTCCCACCTTTTGCGACGTGGGGACGGTTGGAACTTATTTTATTTCATAACGGTTCCATCTGTCACCTTATCGGGGATAGTGGGACTAAAAGGCCTGACCAGCCGCTGGCTGATAGAAGCTCAGATTGCATAAAAATGACGTCACAGATAAGGTAACAAGATCTGATGTTCCCATCACATATTTTACGCGTTGGATTGTTATCAGACAATTTAGAAATTGGTGGGACAGTCACTTAATATTTATTTAATGTTTACAACACAATCAGTCCATACTTTCTTAGCGCTTTCTAAAATTTTTGTAGACACATTCAGTCTTAATTTCTTAAAAGAGATACAAGTGTTATAACAATATTTTGTTATCTTACTAATGTTATAAATGCGAAGATATATATTGATGGATGTTTGTTAGAGTTTGTTGCCTAAACTGGTGAACGGATTTCAATGAAATGTGACATAGATGAAGTATAAACTAGAAGAAGACATAAGTTATTTACTTTTTATACTTAATCCAAGCTGACGGATCCGCAGATGAAAGCTAATTAAATTATCAACTAAGGAACCGAGAGGTACACCTAAACCCTATGGTTTTTGTACTGCTTTAAAATTGTTCATTTACATATTTGTTTTTGTCTAATTAATTAAAAAAGACAGTGTTTCAAACACATTCTAAATTAAACCTACGTCAAAACTTAATTAAACATGAGTAGTCTTGCAAAATGCGATCCAAAACATACCTTGATATAAGAAGCGGTTGTTCCCAATCCATGATATGAATTCCATAATTATTCTTATAGTAATCGATAAAAGAGATCTCAGAAGATTTATCGTTTTCTGTCTTTTGGAATGTAGACCGCGGCGTCATTGTATCGTCTATACTGTCAACACTGAAAAAAAAAAAACTAAATTCACGATTTTAAAAAAGATCGAATGAGGTACCCAATTACACGTTTATAGTAAAAATATTTCGAGTTTTCGCATTTAACTAGAAATAAGCTAATTTAAACAATCAAGAACATACTTGAGTAATTTTTTCATTTACATATTCTTAAAAGATTTGTATTTATATTTTAAACAAACGTGTGAATTACAGGTTAATCAATTAAAGTACAGTCAACTGCATAAATGTAAAATGACGTCAATGTCCAATAAGGTAACATTTGACATATTGGATGATTATCAAACAATTTACAATTTGGTGGGACAGGAACATAGTGTCGAAACTAAATGAAGCTGACTGTACATATCTTGTACACTCACCGAAACATTTTCTTATTATATGTAGTCATAACGGAGCTGCCAACAAGTTTGTCTGTCAACGCTCGCTTCCAGTTGGCACCTTCGCACTGCACCGTCTCCTTTATGAGAGAAATCACTGTCTGCGTTCGTAGTACTCGGTGAGTGGAGTCCAACGTCAACATTAGACCTCCTTCGTATTCATCCACTGCTGTTACATATCTAAAGAATTTAAAAAATGATTAAAATGCTCAATATTTCGTGAGATATTTTAATTAGCTTTAGCCCGCGACTCGGTTCGCGTGGAATTTAAGAGTGAGTAGCCTATTCTTCTAGACTATCCTCTACGTCTGTGTCTGACGCTAATCGAAAGTTACTTCGTCTAAAAGGGCAGTTTAGTTAACGCGTGACATAATAAGGCTATCGGTAAAGCTTCTCAATATATTTATATTATAAATTCATAGCTTGTAAATATAACAATCCCATTTTTTTCTACATGTATTAGTATTAAAAGTGGCAAAATTTGGTTTTTACATGGATTGTATGCAAAAATACAAATTTCTAAAAATTATAAATTCCTCTACCATAAGCAACCTATACTATTATTACTATTACAAAAAATACCAGACTTTCCTTTAGGAAGGTTGGAAAAAGAAAGAGAACGAGAAAGTGGATTTAGTAGGGGAACATACAAATATCTTCTAATCCCCAGTATTTAAAAGATAGGCAATGTACATATGCGTATATTCGCACCGATTTCTTTGCTGTTTTGGCGAGTTTCAGAAGATTACTGGTAAAATTAAATAATCTCACCCGGGCCACACTTCTAGCTTATGTTGTGGTATTTGTATAGCGCTGTGTTCACTGAAGTACTGCCGTCCGAACCTCACCAGTTGTAAATCCTTCATTATATGTTTGAACAGCACATTGTATATGTGAATCATTTCACTCAAACGACGAGTGCGACGGAAATTTATCTGAAATGTAACAAAATAACAATTTTACACAATATACTGTTGACTTCGCATTTAGATGCAAATCTTGTTTGTTTCAGATGTAAAGAATGGTGGATTCCAAACGTTAAGATTCGTGTAATAAAACCGAGCTAACATTAGCTCGGTTTTATTACACTCTGTCCCTACGTGGGGACAGGTGAGAATTAAAAGTTCCATCCGTCTCACATTTTAGTCCCATTATCACCAATAAGGTGACAGATGGAACTATTAAAAAATAAAATACGTTCCAACCGTCCCCTCGTTGCAAATGGTGGGACGGATGAAACTTTTATTGTTGTCTTTTCCCATGTGAGAACAGAGCGGAGTGACGGTTGGGAATAATCCCAAATGACAACGATGGTCTTTGACATTCGATAACAATTACCGAAACCATAATAACCTAGCTGCCTTATGTTGGTAGCTTGTAGTATATGGTCCCTTTTCCACATAAAGGTTTTTTTCCAACTTATTTATCGCCTAAGTTTAATAGCGTGAAAATTTATAGACTAAAGCATGTCGTAAGTAGGGCTTTTTTATTAAAGAGACAATTATTCAAAAATATGCTGTTATTGCTGACATCATACGCCACAAAGTATTCTGTTTTTACACTTTATTATACTAGTGAAGATAAAAAACTTACAATGACTTGAACTTTGCTATTATCATATGGATTTGTTGAAACAAGGTTCATAGCTTCTTCGGGCAGCATATGAGGAACATATAATGTGGTGCCATCAAATGTTCTAGTTTTAAAATATTGATCGTGTTCTGTAAAATAAAAAAATATTTTTAATATACTGTTATTACAGTTAATGTACTAGATACATATTCTAGACAAACTTTTGCCCGTGACTTAGTCCATGCGGAATTAAAAACAAACTTAATAACAAGCCCATGTGTTTTTCCAAACTATGTTCTACATCTAAGCCAAAATTCATCAAGTGACATTAAGCAGATTTTGACATACATAGTACAAGCATCCATCCATCCATCCAATAATACTATGTTACACAATGATAGTATTATTTTACGGTGAGAGAATGTTTAGTAGTTTGAGTTATTTCAATACATACAAAAACACAAATCTTTCCTCTTTATAATATTAGTATAGATAACATACCATTTAGAAGTTTAAAACATAGACTCTTATAATCTTGCTCAGGGTTGTACCGCACTTCATACTCAAACACGTGATCCTCTTCAAAATTAAGTCTGATAAAATTTGCAGTTACTTCACAAGGTCTTCCAGATTCTCCTTTTCTTACAACAGGTGGTGTTTCTTTAATCTCTCTCTGAAATAATCAAAGAAACAAAGTTTATTCAAATTGATAGCGATATAACCCTCAATTTAAAAGATTATATTTTAATAATCTGTTACTTTTAAAGATATTTCCAACTATCGGTTGCTCGTAACTCAAATACATATAAAATACAAATCTTTCCTCTTTAAAATATTGTATACTAGCTTTTTCCCGAGACTCCGTGATAAAATGATCCGTGATGAAATACATGCACAAGTAGCCTATGTGTTCTTCCAGATTATCCTCTACATCTATGTCAAATTCCAAAGGAATCATTTCAACGGTTTTGGCTACAAACTCTACCTAACATCACCCATCCATCCATCTAAACTTCGCATTTATAATATTAGTATGAAGAAGTAGTACTATAGAACTTATAGTATAGAAGTATACTATAGTATAGAAGTATACATGAAATATAAAAAATTAATGTCATAAAAATTAAAGGATATAGCAAGAAAATCAATTACAACCAACTTTAGAAACCCAAATTGCCTTGTTCTACTCATGTGCATATCAAGTTATTTTAACTTAAATTCTACTTACAAAATATTTATTTTTTGGTATAGTTGATGATTGCACAGATGATATCGTACTCTCCGCCATCTTCTCTGTTATTTGTTTTACTTCCGTACCTACACGTGGCTGACTTTGTGCCATTTGAGCTTTCCTGTAATTAAAAGATATTTTCAATTAAAAAAGTTAAATCAATTACGGATAAATACTGAAACAAACACGTAAGTATTTCTATTGATAAAACCACTCTTAGGGCATGTCCCACCAAACTGTAAATAATCTGATAACAATCCAATGTATAAAATATGTGACGGAAATATCGAATTTTGTGCCCTTATCTGACAGTGACGTCATTTTTATGTTACCTGAGCCTCTATCAGCCAGTGGTGGGATAGGCCCATAATTTATTACTATCAATAAGATTGTAGTATTTTAGTAAGAGTAAGAGCATAAATTTACTAACAAATTCTGAAATAACTTCATGCCCCTGCCAGCTCCTACTGTCGGTGCTGAAGGGCTTACATCTGATGCTGGCGAGAACTGCACTTCTGTGAAATACAAAGACATTTAAGAAAAATATAAACTAGACATAGTAAACATTTTTTCACTATTACATTCTCTGAAAGGTACTATATCAATTATCAAGTGTAGTGCCACCTCAAATCCTTGTGTTGACATTTAACATTTGTACAAAATAATAATAAACTCCATTTTTCATTATTAAAAAAATTAAATAAAGTGCGTAAAAATAAAATATAACCATTTAAATATTATAACGACACTTATTGGCAATTAATTATATTGATGTTTGGTTTGAGAATCTATTAATAGTGTTAGCGAGATTATGTGAAAAAATGTTTCAGGTGAAGAGACAACTATGCCTTCTCTACATTAGTTTTGAGTCCCTTTGGAAAAAGTTCAGTTTTCTAAATTAAAACGTTTAGTAATATATAACCAGTTATTTTTACCAACTAAAGTAAGCAAACATTCATAAAATTGTATTGTATGAATAAAATTTTTAAAGTTCTATTATAGTAATTAAACTTCTTGGTGCCCGGAACACAATTCTAGGTATGGCAAGTTGTAAAAATGCGCGTGTAGGTGAGGGGCACTACACAGCACATACACCTTAATCCAGGGGTTCCCAACCTTTTTGTACTCTAGAGTACATTCTTAAATATTGGTTGAATGGCAGGCGACATATGTTTTTAATCACCCAACTTCTTCCAAAACTTCTCATTTTCCCATTATTTATTTTATTTTATACATCATGTATTAATAAATAATAGACAAAAATATTAATAGACAATAAAACAAAGTTAAAACCAACAAATCAATAATAATAATTCACATATTTAATTAATGTTTAAGAAATCAGTCTGTGTTGAATAGTGGCGAGCACATATGAATCTTTCCGCATGCACAATGCTGCCTGAGGGCACAAGGTTGGGAACCTCTGCATTAAGCCATCTCAGATTGTAATATTTAATACCTCTAGTTTGTTGATGCATCTTTGACAGCATCATAGCTGCAATCCTTCCTCTGCCCCCAATACTTGTTGAAGGCATGCCTGTAGCAGCACTTACCTGAAAATTTTAATAATTCGAGACATAATAGAAACTTCAGCATTACATGAAGCTTCAAGATAGATTGATATGTTGCTATAATGCAACATTGTACAATAGAATGGCACATCCATGATTGATGATATCCAAAAGAAGATCTGGAAGAGATTTCAGTGAGTAATCATTTATTATAGTTGTTTAAGCTGTACATGAGTAAACAAACATTTTAATGAAGGTAGTTTGTTAATATGATATTAACATTTAACATAAACTATTGGTACTATTCTCATAAATTTTTCTATAAGTACACTTACTATACTTGATGGCACACTTGGAGGTACACTTGGACCAGGGATCTCCTTTGTAGAGGATTGGCATGATGACTGAGAATCAGCTGTTAGAGTCTTTTTGAAGTCTTTAAATAATGCAAACCCTCGACCTCGGCCTCTACTTTGGTCCGCCATCGTCCTAAAACATTTGTAAATTAACAATCACTAATGCGGATAAATGGATACGATATCAAAGAGTATTCTGTCAAGTTCCAGGAAATATTAGAACTGGAAGTCTGGAATTCTAGTATCGACAAGACATTTAAAAAGTTATGTTTTTCTTTATACCTAGTTAAAAACACGAGTTGGAACTATTCTTTGAAGATTAACTTTAAAATCTGCATTTAAAACGATTGTTAGCATACCTTTCTTAATTTTAGTTCGTACAAATCAAAGAAAAAAGAAAATATCAAAGTTTCTTCCGAATACTCTCACAACAACATGGAAAAAGAAAAGGGAAACTTTTGAATTGCTAAATTAACCGAGAACGTTTTTCCCAGGGTGCACAATCTCAGTACATTTAACTTGGAAATCCGAAGATAAAATACTGCAATATAACGGAGCACCTTAAATCTATTTTGATAAT